CGTGCGAAGCTTTTATGATGAATTATACAGGACATCACACATGAGGCTCAGCTGAAGGGAAAAGTTTGGAATAATCAACTGTGGCTCGCTCGTAACGACATGTTTTGGAGTCAAACAGAGGGGATAGACATCCAAACATGACTCGCAGACCAATGAGAATGTTTTGAAGACGGGCATCCAGCGCAGTAAATCCAATCCGGATTACCCTCGCCGAGGCCAATCAATCTAATTCAATGCGGGTCAATCTAATCATGTCCGATTTAGATTCAACTTGATAACCGCACAGATTCAAAAGGAGTGGCGTTTTTACCGAAACCAAACTTGCCTCTCAGTTTTTATTTGGTATTTGTAACCCACTTTGTCATCTTTTTGGATACCCTTCTTGCACTTAGGAATTCTGCGGGTGTCTTACTGTCATCCAACGCAGCCATCAGCTCTAATTGCTGGTCCAACACCCTGGAAAATTGCACTGGGAATTACCACAGTGACGCCTCGCAGCCACAGTGGCGTTCTACCGGCATACAAAAAAAAATGAGGTTCTAAATGAGAACAAAAAAAAAAATGTTATGATAGTGTCCAAATGCAGCGGCGCAATATATACATGAAAAAAAAATGGGGAGATAGTGTCCAAATGCAGCGGCGCAATATATACATGGAAAAAAAAAAATGGGGGTAATCTGTTCAAATGACCTTGAGGCTTGGCGAGCGCCCGTCGGCTCTTACCGGTTCGGTGAATTCGGGAATGGCGGCGCGGTAGGTGAGGGGGTTGCAGTCGTGTGTGTTGTTGACCAAAACGCACGGCAGGAACATGGGTCCAAGGTCGTCGCCGTCGAGGACGTCCACCGTCAGCGTGGTGGTGGCCGTGCGTCTGTTGGGAGGGTACGGCGCCCGGTCCTGGAAGCGGAACAATCGATTTAGGGGTGTCAACCTTTGAACTCCCTGGAGAGGCGTTGAGTTGTGAGCTGGCCGTGTACATACTCCAAATAGAATATATCAGAACACTTCTGGGTAGCTGGTTGAGTGCAATCACTTGGAATCGTGAACTATACTAGCGCCGCGTCACAAAATAAAAATTTGTAACGATTAGGGGTCTAACACAGAGATGCGAATGCATCGAATCAAACTGAATCGAATCGTTTGACTTTAAATTACATTGAGATACATATCGATTTTTTTTTTTTTTTAATTGAAAGGACAGACTGCATCTTTGAAGGATATACTGACCTGTTCATTCATGGATGAAAGATGACAAAAAGCGACTCATTGCATCAGAGCCTCTCGAACCGAACCGAAATGTATCGAATCGAATCATAATCCCACTTTAAAATCAAAGCAATCCTTGAACTGTATTGCACTCTATGAAGATATGCAACAAATCGTCATGAAGAGATGCACCCCCCACATCCACTAAAGAAATTACTGATTTAAATACATGGTTAATTATGCACTATATTTATTTATGTATATATGTTAGAGTCAAGACTAATTAATGACAGCTAAAAACAACTCAAGTGCATTAAAAATATTTTAAGTGCCCTTACAGGATGCCGGTATGTTTGAAGTGCTTTTCACAGTGTACTTAGCAACGCGCAGCGCCATTGACCAGCCATTCCAATAGATTTATGCTCCGAGGACTGTGTGGCGTCGCAATGCCACCTGCAATGAAAGTGCGCCCTGCGTTGCACCTCCGAATTGAAAAATGTTCAACACGAGAGCAGAGTCAGTGTGAAATCGGAAGGCGCATCGGACGTGAGAGGGTCTGGCGGAGTGATGTCAGAGTGCTAACAGCAAGCAGTGAAGAAAAACCTGTCTCTTACCTCCCCTCGGTGTGTTGCTACGTTAGCACTTGCAAATTTGGGCAAGCTTGCACCAGGACACTAGTGGGCTTGTGCGGTGCTCACCAGGATTATTAATAAGTGCAGTGTGAAAAAGCCTGAAGAGGTGAGCAAGTGAGTTCTCGCATTGCTCAGCCACTTGCTCAAATCTTTTATGCAGTAGCCTATAGTTTTTGTCATCCTTGAATAAAACAGATATAAATGAGGGCTTTTTTTTTCTTCTTCTTCTTTTTTTTTTTTTTTTAACTCCCACGGCAATATTCCGAACCTACAAGAGATTCTTCCCAGCTAACCCCGAGAACCGAGGCGAGCACTTGAAAAGCAAGTTCACAGAGTCCAAGCACAATTAAACTTTTGACACACAGCAAGAGAGTTCTTGTCAACAGCAGGCTTTCCTTTCCATTTCTTTTTCGGGAGAGCCTCGCAAGGCCAGTGGAGCTTTGTGAAAAGCTGTGTCATGTGATCATCCAGCCAGCAGGAAAGAAAGAAAATAAGTTCAGCTGCACAATGACCATCAGCGGCTGGAGCCTAAATCTTCTCTCCTGATGTGTTTAATCTCTGAAGTTTACTTCTTAGGATGACTTATCGGTGTGTTGGAATGAAATCAGACCCCCGGCTGTGAAATATTTACTGGAATGGAGCCCGGCCGGAGTCATTTATTTTACCATCTGGGAGCCAAGGGCGAGTGTGTACAAATGCCATCATCGATGAGTTTGGCTTGCTTTAATAGCATCATTAGGATGACTTGTTTTTACATGTGCTCCACAGAGATGGGCATTACACCTCCTTAAGTAGCACTTCAATCAAAACCCGTCGTGCAAAGCTGACCACAAAATGATTAAAATACGCAATCAAATACTGCTTCAATATGGGCAATCATTTCATTAAAAAAAAAAAAGTATATTTCTAACTTTGATGTCTGTTTAAATAATGTGTAGGTGACCTTTATAACAAATGAAATAAATAATGACAGAATACAAGACCAGCTAATAAAGTAATATATAAAGAAAGGTCACGAATATAGTTCGGCTCATTGAGGATAGAGAATAAAATTACAAATAATGTAAAAATACATTTCAACTATCACTGGATATAGTGGACGACTTTATTTTCAGTATTTCATTTCAAATAATAAATAGAATGAAAGTGTTGTTGTGGTTTATCTTTTATAATTTTGATTATTTTACCTTCCAGCTAACAAAAAAATAAATCCAAAATTGGCATCTCAAAGAGGTTTTGATGAAATACGTAATCCAAATGATTTAAAGAGAAAAGCTGTTTCATTAATCCACATACACGGAGCAAAACCACTTTTATTTTATTTATTTTTTGCGGCCTCAGATCTTGCAGTTCAGCTCGTGAAAAACACAATCTAAAAGAAATGCGTTACATTTATATTTCATTCCCATCAAATGAAATTGATAAATCTTTCCCATTTTTTATTGCACATCTAAAACCAAATTACAATGAGTCCGAAAAATCTGTGATTCTGCTGCCTTATTGTAGTCTGAGCCATGTTTGAATGCAGTCCAGACTGCATAAGGATTAATTATGTTGTTTTTTTTTTTTTTTTGCGCATATTTTATGACTGTCACTCATATTACATCAGGGCTCTGGTCACGTGATGCATGTCAATCATCTGAAGGTCAATATCAGTAAAATCAATGAGCTTGCGGCTGGCGAAAAACCGCCCCCCATCTTTGACCTTCTGAGGGGGAAATGTAATTGTTTCATTTCTTCTTATCTGACACCTCCTGTATGTTAAGGGTGTGATAAGTTAAATTGTCTGCTTGACCCACAACCATCATATAACCTTCCAGCCGAGGCGACTACTTTTTCCTGATGTTATGCCACCCAAAAAAAAAAAAACAATTTAATTGACCTTTTAGTTGGAGAAGCATCGCATGCTTCAGAGCAAGTGAACATTTGCATCAAAATCCCTTTTCGGAATGAGTGGAGATGGAGCACTTATACAGCGGTTCCACTTGAAACGAGAACCTGGATCACTTACGTTGGCTTGGATCAAAACCAGGTAGCGTGTTCTGTCCTCATAGTTGAGCCTCTCAGCTAGAACAATGTGTCCCGATAGCGTGTTTGCCACACTCACTGTGCTGTTGGATTCCTGCAAGGAAGCATAAAAGACAGGAAATGAGGTAGGCGTGACTAATTAGGAAGCGACGGCTGAAGGAGTCCGGTAAGGTTAATCGCGACACCATTCGACCGGCTCAACTTGGTACGACTCGGCTCTCTCTGGGGCTGTCGGTTGTGCACTTCAAAATGGTACAGCGCAAAACTGAAAACTGAGTCGCAATGGTCTTTAATCAAGTTTCAGATATTAAGATATCCTCTATTTGTCCCACACTGGGGAAATTTACAATGCCCGCCATGTGATAGCAGCAGTGAACGTCAACTTATGACTGCTCAAGTTGTGGTTGAGTGATTTTAGAGTGACAAGAAGTCTTGCAGATACGTTTTTGTTGACTGTGTTTGGACATTTCAGCGGGCTGAGGTTGTTTTCTATGACACGCCCCCGGCGCAACTGACAATTTGGTGACAGGAAGGAGACTTGCACTTAGACCCGCTGAAATCACCGCAGACGCACGACTCGGACTGGACGGGGATCTCCATGTAACCACTTCACAGCAGCCCACTTTTTCTTGTAGTTCCTTAGAAACATACTTTGCATGTGCACAACTACTACTGCACAGACTGCGAGTCCGAGATTCTTCCACTATGTAGACCGCGTGCCTTTCTTTCACTGAATTTAAAGAGAGGAACCGCTTCGACTGGCCGGGAATCAAATCGGCTGTGTTCACTCCCACAACGGCGCAAACGTCCAACACACGTCTATGAAACTACCAAGAGACTGGGCTCTGTTCGACCACGCTTTGCGCTAGACTTGCGTTTGGCACGACAATAAGGGTTCGGTACACGTGGCTCTTAGCCAATGAGTCCAGTGGAAAAAGGGTAATACGTACTGGGTCATTGGCGTTGTACAGAACGCTGTATTCTATATGTCCATTTGGCCCGTCATCGATGTCGGTGGCTCCATTTCTTCCTGAGAAGCCAGTAAATATGGTCGTTCCCACCGGGGTGAGCTGTAGGTGAAAAAAATATGAGAGGGGGGGCGGGCAAAGTCACATCAGCAGCTCTTTCAGCCTCCTGTTTATTTTTGTTGTTGTTAAGAGAGCGCCTATGCACAGTCATTGCCATTGCGGCGTCCATTCCACGCCATTAGCGGACACGGCCAAGCAAATCAAAAAGGGAAAACGTTGCCGTCAGCAGCGGGGCCGTAGCTGAGGGCTTATGCACACTGCTGACAGAATAATAAAAGTAAGTATGCGACTCAGCGTGGTTCCCCGGAGCCCACGGCGCGGGCCAAAGGAGCGCGTTTGCGCGCCGTGACTCACCCTACGGCGCTACCATCACACACTGGACCTTGAGCGTATGCGCATAACGCGAGAGGCAAAAGTGGAGATTGATCACAACCCTGCGGGGGAGTTAGCATCCGACGCTGTGGTTGCAGGGGTGTGGGCCGCGGGACCCGCAGCGTGCTGGAGCATATGTGCACAATGGCCTGCTGAACCCACACAGCTTGAACATACTGATGGCAAATGAAACACATGCAAGAGATTGAACAGAGGGAGCAAAAAGACTTTCCTCTTTGAGAATAAAATCAGGATTAATAGGCTCTCCAGGAAACGTTCAAAGAGAAAGAACTGTCATTTTAGCGATGGCGGCCAGGGGGAGGAGCGTCACCACGTCTGGAAACTCACCAGAGTGCGTATATCCTTGAACAGGAAGTCAGCCATGTTTTCGTCAGAAGCAGCCATTTTAGGCGAATTCCAGGACTTGGACAAAATTCTACTACGGAATCCGCCGTAAAGAGCTTCAACAACACACTTTTTTTCCCCTTCCCAAAAGATGTTTGTTTTTTACTCATTTTGCTAGCTCCTGGATTTCATTTTAGCGGTAACCTATCACGTGACCGAGAAGCGCACCTTGACCCGCGTCAAGAGTGACACATTGTAGATGGATGTAACAGAGAATCCGGTAACTTTTCAAAATAAAACGTCTTTCAGATTCAAAATTAAATAAAACAGAGGTATTATAAGTTCTTTCTTCTTTCTGTGCAATTCGGGACCAAATGATAAGCGGACTGGTCCCGGTCCGTGGGTCAATTGGTACGGGGTTTGGGGACCGCTGACCGAGACTGATGGGCAGTGAGAGGACTGGTACCGGTCCGTGGGTCATTTGGTACGGGGGTTGGGGACCGCTGACCGAGACTGATGGGCAGTGAGTATTTGACTTTTTTTTTTGTAGTTGTTGTTGCTAGCGCCAGCTAACGCGGGTGGCACATGACATCAAAGTTTGACGATCATTTCAAAAAGTGTATGAGAAATTGTTCCTCGCGGCTTTCATTTTCGTTGTATTGGCATTTACACTAATAACAGTTGCAGGCTGTTCCTCATTTTAATTGGACTTCGAAAAAGCAATTATAAAGCCTCTTTGCACGACAGAGGCACCAAAGCGAAAGAACAATATGAAGACGTCTGAGCGTCGAGGACTTTCGAGCTTGGGGAAAAGCGACATGGCCCCGACATGAGGCCCATCTTCACAATGTGATATGATTACGGCGGAGATGATAATGGAGCTTGAGTCTTGCGTCGAATACGTGACACTGAATCCTGATTAACTGCATCTTGAAACAAGTGAACCTCGGTCGTTTGACTCGCAACTATTTATGGTGAGCTACGAGCAAGTAGGCAGGGGACACCCTGAACCGGTTGCCAGCCAATCACAGGGCACGTAGACACAAACAACCATCCACGCTCACACTCACACCTAAGGGACAATTTGGACTGTTCAATCAGCCTACCATGCATGTTTTTGGAATGTGGGAGGAAACCGAAGTACCCGGAGAAAAGCCACACAGGCCCAGGGAGAACATGCAAACTCCACACAGAGAGGCCGGAGCTGGAATTGAACACGGTACCTCTGCACTGTGAGGTCGACGCGCTAACCACTGGACCACCGGGCCGCCACCCAAGAAGTTGATGGCCCTAATTTTGTTGTTCTTTCATTTGACGTACGGCGGCGCCCTTACCTCGTTGACCGCCACATAGTAGCGCGGGTGCTGAAAACGCGGCGTGTTGTCATTGCGGTCCCTCACGACGATCCGGACCTCGTGCAGAATAACGGTCCCCACCAGCTCGTTTGTGCACTGGACTTGAACCACAATGGTGGTGATGTAGTTGGGAGGCTGAAAGAGGAGGTTGGTGGGGAACAGAGAGAAAGAAGGGAGAAGACTTTCAGGCCTGTGTTGTCGGTTATTATTTGTTAATGCCCGACGCGCTGTGGTCTCGCAGTAGCCTCGGGTTATCAGAAGCAAATGCACAACTTCCTTTTGTTTTGAAAGCAGCCACTTTCCTGAGTGCAGCCTATCAATCTGGGCTACGCAATTGGCATTTTCACATTCTCTTGTTGTCAAACGTCTGAATCCATTCCCTCATTAGCACCAATTTCATACGAGTTGGCGCGCTATCTGCGTGAGCAACTCCAATTGTGACATTTCAGCGAGGCAGCCATTTATTAAATTGTCATGCGCGGCCAACATATGATTATTTTTCTTGTTTGTTTGGGATTTTCAGTCAGCCTGTGCAGCCTTTTTTTTTTTCTTGAAAGACAGCAGTACCTCAACGACAAGATTATTTCTTTCTAGTGTTCATCCACTCTTCCTGCTTCGGTAAAGCGCGCATTGCAGAAGTACATCACGGGGCTCGGACTGCTTCGCCAAGTTGGCTAGGTGCAAAATTCGCTCATGTTTTTCTGTGATTAAGATTTATTTCAAAAGACATGCCCTGCTTCTTCCTCTCGGCTTTCTTAAGACCCATGGTTATAGAAAAGACGCCCCCCCCCCCCCAAATAAAACAGTGAGTGAGCAAAGTGTGGGCCCGTATGTTATATTTGCTGATGTCATTTAGTAGCGGAGCATCTAATGGTAATTCGCTAAAAAAAAAGGGTAACGCTGTATTCAATACTTACTGACACAACATCAACAAAAACGAGATCAATGCGCCTGCTAAAAATATTTTTCTCTGTGTGAAGATTCTCAGTCATCCAGATCGTGACAATTCGCAAAGGTCCAATCGAGGCGTCTGGACGCTGGTTGCGTTTCCGAAAACTGAAAATGCTTATTTGGCTTATGATATGATGAATTATGATTAAGTTATCGTCAAATGAAGAGCCTTGTACTGTCTTCAGCAAGTTGGCAGCAGACCATGACATTCCCGCGTCATCTGGAATTAGCAACAGTGGAGATCGTTGTAAACTGTGATATTTATATTTGACTGTCCATGGCAAATCCAGTCATGGGAAAAAAGCCAGCAGTGATTCCCTAACGTTTTTTTTTTAATCTAATGATTGACATGCTTACACACTCACTGTCAGAGATAATTGCTTTTCGCCCCTGTTGACCATCTAGGTGTAAAGGCTTTAATTAGTCGAAAAATTGCAGATCGCTAATTCAGACTATCAGGCATGTCAAGTTTGATTTATGACCTCTCTTATCTGCCCGTTCACGATAAGCCGGAAAGATGGATGTGAAAGTGACGACAAAATGACAGAAAAATCGGAATGAAGAAATGAGACGCTCATGTTGCGATTACTCCTATTTGCCAGTGCCTTGGATTTAGAACGCTACAAAAGCTTAGGCCACCATTGAAGTTTTGAAAACAAAACTAAAAAAAAAAAAAATGACCAAAATTTGAAGGACAATGGTAAGAGAAGAGCTGCAAGACCAAGCAGCATTCCTGAATATGAACAGAGATGATCACCGGTGGCCGTTTTGCCATTAATTGTGACAGGTTTCTATTTCCTGTTTTTGCCTTTTGACGAGAGTAACATAAGCCGGTAATGTCCCCCTTTTTTTGTTGAGAAACGACCTACTTCCGTGACATACGTCATGCATCCGTGTCCATCTGTTTCTGCTGTTTGACAAGTGGGAGCATTGAAAGAAAACAGTAGACCGTGCCACATGGACGAAAATTGCCATGAGAGTATTATTTCGGGGATGTCATCGGAGGACTTTCTGACACATGGTTTGTCACACCAGTCCGCCAGCTTTTCTGACCCACCTCGTTGTCCATAATAAAAGGTAAACAAATCCATCAGGCCTCCAATTATCACACCAACTAAAAGGAAAATTAACTGTGTTCTGAATGGCATTTATTCGACAAAGATGACCTGTGACCTGCGTTCTGCGCAACAAAAACAAAAAAAATGGACCGACTATGAATCCAATGTATCCTCTTAAGCATGGCCAGAGCATTAAAAAAAAAAAAAAAAAAAACAACAAAAAAACCTCAGGCCAGCCAATTTAATGCAACAACCCTGTGTGGCTATTAATTTCCATTTAATCTATTCTTAATTTTAGTAGCTCCTCTCTGTTCTCAGGGTTTAAGAATTGATGACCTCAATAAAGAGCAGGCTCCAGTTACGATGAATATAAAAATAAATGTGTGTTTATAAACCTTTAATCACCAACCATAAGAGCCCTAACCCAGGGCACAAAGAGACCAATGTTTCTATAATGCAAATGAACCCAAACGAGAGCCGCTTCTTATTTACATACTAGAGGCAATCGCTTTTTTGATGCAACAACAACAAAAAAAATAACTATATAAAACAATCACACACACACACACACACACACACACACACACACACACACACAAAAAGGGGGGTGGGGTGGCACGCTGGGTGAATTTTAATATTTTGGCGGCCACACAAATGCAGTGTGCATACTTACATCTCTATCCAGAACGCGGCCGGTGCTGTTTAGGTAGAGCCTCTGTCGCGTCGGTTCCAGTATCACCCAGTACTCGTAGTTGTCCAGTAAAGTCAGCGAGATGGTTCTGCCTGGGTCCTGGGCGCGGCCATTGATCTGCATGTTCTCCACCAGAACCGTGCCTGAAACCGAGATTGGTTTCAATCCAGTGCATGGAGCTCCTCAACTGACTACAACTTAGTTCTTTGGGAGCAAGCTGTCACAAGATGTTGGTAAAGCACTAGATTTGTTGGCACGGATCTCCTCAACTCACTTTAACATAGTTCCTTGGACAAAGATGCCACAAGGCGGCAGCAAAAAACTTTCATCCAACTGAAGCTCCTCAACTGACTTCACCATAGTTCCCTGGCATCAATATGCCACAAGTTTCCGCCAAATCACTCAGTATTTCCCTATAGTGTAGGCCGATTTGCAAGTGTCGAATCGTGAGTATGCAGGGATTTAATATCCCTTTAATCAGAATCAGAATCATCTTTCTTGGCCAAGTATGTAGAACACACAAGGAATGTGTCTCCTGTAGTACAAGCTACACTAGTATGATCAATAACAAGCAACTACGATAAACAAGGACATAAATAATTAATGTCTTCCTGGCGGGTGGGGGAAGGGAAGCTTCCATTTGAGGGAGTTCTTAATTTATTTGAGAAAATGTCTAGTTCGAAAAAAGAGCTGCTGGAGAAAATGTCTCGCTTTCATCGCTGGTGTCTGGGAACGCAAGTAGCGGGGTTTTTTTTTCCTGGATACACGTCAACAACAGACTCACATTTAAACAAGGAACTAGTACATTGTTCATCATTGTTGATGTGAACGTGTCCGGTTTTAGCCGTGTGCTAATAAAGTCGCGTTTCTGCAGACAAGCCTCTTTGCAGGGCCATTAATGATTCGCCCAAAGGCGGCGGTGGTAAACCTTGTACTTGCCATTGATTGTCTTGACCACAGGACCGCCCCCTCCTAGGACAGCCCTTTCCCTCCTGCTGAAGGCTGTTTTTCAAAGAGCCGCTAAGTCACTCGACTTTTAAGTGGCCAGATGAGTGCATCAATTAAATAACTGGAGCTTGACAGAAGAACAAGAAAACTTCAGGGAGAGAGAGCGTCATTCGGATCAATGGCGAAAGCACACACTGAAAGCTTAAGTGTTGGACACTTTTCTGGTCGGAGTCTCCCGATATATGCCTCCGTTAGGAAACTTCCTGATTCACGTTTGCTCTTTCTGACTTCTGATCCCGAGTGTTCTGATAAACGCCATCTTCTGTTCGAGAGGATCACTGAAGTCAAAGTGGCGGCCGGGACTGGTCTTGAGCGGGGAGGTTCTGTCGAGACCTCAACATGGAGGCTTATCTTCTTCCACACTCACGCTTTGCAGTCCAAAAAACATGTATTTTCGCTTTGATGTCTTCCCGAGTGAAAGGCATGTTCCCCGCGCTCGCGGAGTTGATGTGTTCAGTAAACAAATTTATTTGGCAGGCTTTGATCTTGACCCGTGGGTCATCGACATACCTGAACCAGTTGCTGCGGCTCAGTTCCTCTAAAGGAATTTTGATAATCACATCGCCGTGCGTCCTGTATTCAATGGAAAAAAAAATATTTTGCGTTTCATGTGGCAACTGTTAACTCATTCACACCCAAAGACATATTTAGATGTCTTTTCAGACGCCACACATTTAATCCCAGCTCCTCATTTCATATTGACTGTACTTGAAAAGGGTCTGAAAGGGTCTGAGGAGCTGCGATTAAATATGTGGCGTCTGAAAAGACATCTAAATACGTCATTGGGAGTGAATGAGTTTTAATATCGGAATGTCAACCCTCCCCCCAAAAGTAGCTGAAAAAACAGAAATGTTGGCTAAATACCGCGAGAGGCTAGCGACAAGTCCAAGGTTTACCCTGCCTCTCGCGTAAAAGATGCTCACGAGGACGACGGGAGAGTAAAAGAAATGGAAGGATTGTGGGGCGACCGCTGTTGTGTCAAACCAGTGTTGAATTTTAGCGTTGTCCCAAATTTCTTTGTCTTTTTATTGACTTGAATTACAAACACGAGAGTTTATCCTTTCAGGAGGCGCTTGATTTGTTTTTGCAGCATCACCGACACCCTCAAGCCGGAGCCCAGGCGGCGGCGTTATCATCAGCCCTTGCTGCATTTGCATGCTTCTGGTAATAACTGCTCCCTGTTTGGTTTGCCTGATGCGATCAGGGGAAGCGGCGGTATAATCAAACGCCGCATAAGGGAACCAATCTTTGAAAAATGCTTCTTTATAGAGTTTAATGTGGGAGTCGTAACAGCTCCCTTTTGCTGTTTCATTATGACAATTGTCGTCTATTTTTTTTTTTGCACAGAATTACACATTTAAGTCATCGCTGATATTACTCTGGCAAATCGTAATAGTTTTTTCCCCCCCCGCAATGCAGAGTCATTCTGTTCCAACAAAAAGCATTTGTACCACGCAATATGGGAATACAATTGACAAAGTAGACTCGTCATCCTTCCATAATGATCTTATTAGAACTTCTTTAGATAACAAAATGAGACTGGTTTACAAAGCATGCGTGAGCGTCCAAGGCCAGGACATTTGATGGTGGCTGAATGACAGTACTAACAATTTATTCCAAGAAAATGTAAATCAGGTAGGCCATAGCTCTTATTCGACTTCTGAAATGAAAATATTTCTCTCACTTATGCGCTCGTATTCCCTTTAGCGTAGCTCCATCTAGTGGATGCATAACGCAACCGCAGCTAGGGCTCAATATAAATAAAGCTGTATTGTATTGTATTCCCTTTGGCGTAGCTCCTTCTAGTGGATGCATAACGCAACCACAGCCAGTATTGTAACTTCGATTCGATGCGCCTTATAATGCGGTGCGCCCTATATATGAAAACGGTTTTAAAATAGGCCATTCATTGAATGCGTGCCTTATACTCCGAAGCGCCTTATAGTGCAGAAAATACGGTAATCAAGCCTGTCGGCATAACTATGGTCACACATGGTCCGCTCATAAATAATGCAAAAATTCCTAGTCACCTGACCTTTGAAATGCGCGCAAGAGCCTCATTCAAGGGGCTCATAAACTATGTCCATATTTGGACTTCCTGAATGAGCGGTTCGCGCGTCACTTACAGCCTCTTGTCTGCGGTGAGTGTGAGTGAATGCGTGTCAACGTATGCATCACACTATCGATGGAACAAAGGGGTGCGCACCCTCGGTCGCACAACTGGAACGAGTAATGGGGGTGGGAATACTCTGGTGTCTCCCGCGCATAGCTTAGAGGGAACAATGTCACCAACTCAACCTAACCACAACTCAAGAATTGATAGTTTCAAGAAAATTTGAGCCACCGGCCTCACCAATGGGCACAAACTTTGGTCGAGCATAACAGGAAATAAGAGATGGGCCAGGTGACTGCACGTACTTTGACAAAGTCCTACGAGGGAAGTCCTCCATAATCAGTCCCACTCAGAAGCACAGCGCCCAGACAGATGGTTGCCACTAAATTGTGAAGCCTTTCCGCTGTTTCAAGTGGAGGTAGAAAGGCGTCAGAGTTTGTTGTTTTGTGGATTTGCCAAAAAAAAAAAAAAAAAGGAGCTTGAGAGCCTGTTTGCCGCTGCTTTCATTTTCTTTGTAATGCATTGTTAACCTCAATTATCCCGCCTGATGAAACATACGATTTCTTGATCCAGCCTTCATGCCCAAATAACCTCACGCAGCAAAAACATGCGTACCAGTTGTCAGGGGCTACACTCCGCACCGCGCAACATTCTTAAAATCTCATTGCGTATTACACCCATGGCCAAATGAAGTTGTGTTGTCTTAAAGCCATCTAAGCTTTCCAAATGCTTAATTGGCTGTAATTGCAGTTGATGTATTTTGACAAGATGCAACGTATGTGTTGTGTCTTTGCGCCAACGAGCATCCTCCGTTTCATTTAGTCCAAAGCTCTCCAAGAAAGCTTCCAAATGACGCAATTATGGACGACACATCTTTGATCATTTCGCTTACCACGAATATGCTCGTCATGGGTACGCACATGCTCCCCCCACAAGACATTTTATCAATGCAAGGCTTGAAAATTAACTTTCTCCAAAACTGGGTTCATTTCAGCATGGGGGACACAATCACCTTTTTCTGCGTCAGACGAGTGGCCAGATAATTCGGTTTCGGGAAATGTCTATCATGGCCAGATTGCAAACGTCTGTTCCCGATTCCAAAGTCATATATAATGACATTCCGGTGGACCGAAGGGAGCAGACTGAACACTAATTTGCATGAGGACTTGTATTAATGTGTAAGAGTGCCTGTAAAATACTTAAAAAAATCAGGTTCTCAAGCGTTTAAAGTGGATAGAAAAAGTCTACACACCCTTGTCAAATTCCAGGTTCAGGTGAGATTGACCATGAAAGTAAACGCCTACGAGAACATCAGAACTTTATTTGGGGCTACTCAGAGGCATGTTAAGTGGTTATTAAATGTGTGAGGACTCATTTAGCTAACATGAATTTTAATACGACTGGCTAATTCGGAAAACACTCGCATCGCTCATTATGCATGAAACCAAATTATCTATGATTTTAAATTCCCCTCTAATTTTTTGTTTTTTCCCCCCAATTTATCCAAGTTATTGGTCACATTAATAGTAGAACATGGTTTGAAATGATTTATATTGATCTCTCATGTTTTAATTTTGTTTCAAATTGTTACTTCCACTTGACATAAATTGAAACGTACTGGAAATATTGTTGAATACTATTGCTAACCTTCATTTTTACAACTAAAGGCCTCCACGTGAAATAAACTTTGTCAGGACACGGTCTCAGTTTTTGTCATTTGATTGGCAAACTATTTAGAATCCATCACTGATCTAATTTACAGCACATACATATCCTGGCTTACTTTACGAGTGTGTGTAAAACAGAAGCTTTTTGTGTACTCTGGTTGCCGAAAATTTGTTTTTTGATGGCTTTTTTTTTTTTTTTTTTGTGAAGTACTGAACTGTTAAGAGGCATGTCAAGCCTTATCAAAAAATGAGAAGAGGCCTCTCACTCTGTTGCGTATAAACCATTGTCCAAATGAGAACCTGTTGCAAAGTTCCTACTTGTACGCGAGCGGGCGAGGTTTAACGGCAGTAATTC